TTTGACCAAACAACTGGGCACCATAGCATAGCCTAGCCAAGTTGACACATGAAGTTAACCATCACAGAGTTTAAGCCATGAATCCTACATTGTACAGAGAGAATTATTATTTGAGCTTATAGATTGACTGTCTGGCTCCAAAGTCCATACTCTTGTTCCTATAGTCTACTGCCCCTCAAAGTGGAAAATTTTTATGGTGGTGACTGGGTCTAGGTAATTATTGCATTACTCAAAGGTGCAGACAGCCTTTCTTTTCTTTTTAAATCAATCCTTGTTTTATTTACTTAATTATTTTGATGTAATTGACGTTTATAGAGCATTCCACCCAACAATATCAGCGTATACATTTGTTTCAAGACTACGTATAATATTGACCAAGACAGGGAAAATTTGGGGCTATAAAACAAATCTTAAAAAATGTAAAATATTCCAAATCATAACAAGTTTGTTCTCTGCCCACAATGAAATTAAATTTGAAATCAATAACAGAAAGACCTCTGGAAAATCACCGAAGTATATAGAACCTAAACAATACACTTCTAAACAAGGCACAAGTCGAGTAAGTAATTAAAAAGGAAATTAGACAATATTTTGAACTGAATGAAAATAAAACACAACATATCAAAATTTGTGGGCTATCGTTAAAGCATTATCGTCTTTATTATGTCATTGTAATATTAAAGCAACAGACCGTTTTCCTGAAGGCAGAGTTTGGAAGAAAAAAAGCCTAAAGAATGAATTTACTAGTTATTTTTCCTTGCTGTGGCCATATTTGTTAGTGAGAGTTTATGGCGTAGTGCCTAAGGCCTTTGACTGCTAACCAAAGGCTGGTGGTTCAAACCTACCAGCTACTTGGTGGAAGGAAGACTGGGCAATCTACTTCCGTAAAGATTTACTGCCTCGGAAACGCAAAGGTGGTTGCTATGGGTCAGAAACCGCTCAAGGGCAGTAAGTTTGTTTTTTTCTTACTATGTATAAGGAGCTCTGGTGGTACAGTGTCTAAGGCATTTGACTACTAACCAGAAGGCTGGCAGTTCAAACCCACCAGCCGCTCTACTTACATAAAGATTTCCCGCCTCGGAAACCCAAAGGGAGTCGCTATGAGTTGGAATTGACTCAATGGCAGTGAGTTTGGTTTTTTTGGTTTACACACACATATACACACACAGAGGCAGTCCCTGGATTATGAACAAGTTATCTTTAAGTCTGTCTTTAATTTGAAATTGTATGTAAATTGGAACAGTTAGGTATGGTTTGTATTTAACATCAGTGAATCAAATGTTTGTCTTAGTGTATAGTATATATTGTACCTTTCTAGACATAGCACTTAAGAAACACTTACAGATACATTAAAACATCCTTAACACAATAATGCAGCAATAATAATAATGTTTTGATGCACATGGCAAAGTAGTGCTTGTTATTATGGACCATTGTATATACTTCAAATTTTTAATATAATAGGCTTTACAGGGGTTGGTTCATAACTTTGGGTTATACTTATGTCAGAAATTTGTAACCCAGAGACTCTGTGTGTGTATGTGTGTGTACACACACCAAACCAGAAAACAAACTCATGCCATTGAGTCGATTCCAACTTATAGTGACCCCAATTGGGTTTCTAAGGCTATAAATCTTTATAGAAGCAGACTGCCTCATCCTTCTTCCATGGAATGGCTGGTGGGTTCAAACCATTGACCTTTTGTTTAGCAGCCAACTGCCTTAACCACTACATCACCATAGCTTCTTATATATAGAATGTGTATGTATACACAGAGATACACACATACATACATACATATATAGAGATGTTCTGGTAGTGCAGTGTACATGCATACATATCTACTGGCACACACTCACAGAGTAATATGTATTTCTTCATGTAGAGTTATTTTCTGACATTTTTGTGGGGGCTTTGATTTCAGGTTGTTCATCCTGGTCCTGATTGGCATCAGCATCGCCTGGGTGCCCATTGTACAGTCAGCGCAAAGTGGGCAACTCTTCGATTACATCCAGTCCATCACCAGTTACTTGGGCCCACCCATTGCAGCTGTTTTCCTGCTTGCTATTTTCTGCAAGAGAGTCAATGAACCAGTAGGTGTCATCCTGGTATGCCCAGAATAAAAACTAATGGGATAGGAAGAAGTTAATTGCCAAAAGAGGGGGAAAAAAAAAAAAGCTTTAGGAAGTTCACACAAACTCAAGGTCAAGAAGTAATATTTTGAGTGAAAAATGAGGAATAGAGTCTTCTGTTTCCTTATTCATTTATTCATCTATCAGACACTTGCAGGTGCCAGATACGGGTGGGGCACTAAAAACACAAAAGGCATAGATAGGAACCCTGATTCAGACCCTGGACAAGCTCCCAATTCAGATAAGGAGACAGAGAAGTGAATGAATAATTACAAAGCAGTGAGGTTAGTGCTGGTGAGAGAGGTGTGTCCACAGTCTTGTGGCCACAGCAAGGAGGGTGCACCTACCCTGTTCCCCCTGGGAAGTAGGAGTGGAACATTCAAGCTAGAGCAAAGTGACCAGGAAGGGAAGAACCTGTGCTTTCCCAGGTGGAGGAAGTGACCTGGATAGGGACCCAGGGACATGAACACAAGTGGAATGTTTAAAGAGTAGCTGGTAAACCATGAAGGTCCTTTTGGCCATCGTTCTATGGGAACACTTTACTTTGTCACTGGCTCCCCTTAAATGTGGTCTCCAGACCTAGACCTGGTACGCTCTGTTAGGCCTTTGGTGGGACATGCCTTGCTACAAGAATCCTGTAGGCAAAGAGTGACTACAAATCAATCGATCACTCTAACATGCAAACACAAAATTGAATGTGAAAACACACCCATAGTTCCGTTTTATGTTTTCAAATTAAAAACAGTGACTTTGGATCTATAAAGAAGTATGAAGAAGGAAGTTACATGTAGATAGATATTTTAACTTTTTTTTTTTTTTATAGTGATTTGGGTGAAGCTTTACAGAGCAAATTGGTCTTCCATTCAACAATTCATACACGTTTTGTTTTGTGACATTGATTACAATCTCTACAATGTAACAGCACTTTTCCCACTTCCTTCTTGTGTTTACCATTTCTGTTTGTCCTTCTCTCCTATTCCTTCCTGTCTTCTGAGCTTTATCCCTGGGCAAATGCTGCCCATCTGAGCTCATATGGTTGGTTGTTCTAAAAAGTACATACCTCCTTGGTGTTATTGTCTGCCTTCTAGGCCTGTGTCTTGCTTGGCTGAAATTTGAGCAACAGGGATGAGTTCAGTTCTAGGCTTGAAGGCCACAGTTGCAGAGGTTCCACCGGTATCAGTCAGACCAGTAAGGCTTAGCCTTTTGTATTATTATTATTATTATTTTGAATTTTGTTCCACATTTCTCCCACTCTAAACAGGACCTCCTATTGTGATGCCTTTCAGAGTGATTGGCAGTGGTAGTCAGGCACCATCTAGTTTTCTGGTCTCAGGATTACAGAGGCTGATGTTCACGTGGTCCTTTAGTTCTTCGGACTAATTGTTTCCATGCATCTTTGATTTTCTTTGCTTTGGTCAGGGAGAGTGCACCTTAGATGGCCACACTCAAGCTTTTGAGACTCTAGTTACTACTCACCAAATTAGGATGTGGAACACTACCTTGTGGACTACATTATGCCAATTGACCTTAATGTCCCACACAACTATGGTCCTGAGCCCCCAGCATCTCATTCCCTTAAGGTGTTTTGTTATGGCTAAGACATTTTCAGAACTTTGCCCCTTGTATACACTCTGCTATATTCATGGACATATTTGCAGCACATATAGATACATCTGCAGAAATATCCTTTATCAAACCTATTTATGTAGATATTCACGGGTGTAGTCCCATTCATCTTCCCAGTCCTGCTCAGCTTGAGTGTCTATCTATGGATGCACTCACAGGTTATCGTTATTCATGTGATTGCAGGATTGTGTGTGTAACAGTATTTACCTTCATTGACTTGAACTCGTGTGTTCCTCCCAGTGTCTTCCTTTGCCTTGATCATTTGTGCTGACCTCCCCCTTATCGTATATTGCCTTTCCCTTCACCCAAATTAATATGTGTCTACCCTGTAGTTGGTGATTTACCCTCCTTCCTTCTCCCACCCCTTGCAAGCTTCAAAGAATATTTCTTTCTCTATGTAAAGCTTTTCTTGACTTTTTGTGGTGGTGGTCTCATATAATGTTGATCCTTTAGTGATTGCTACTTATATCTCAACAGAAAAGTTCCTTTCTCCCACATTCCCAAAAGACACAATTTCTTTTTCTGTGTCTTCAAGGAATACAAATCCATTCATAAATAATTACCTAACTTGAATGGGCCTTAATCTACATGCTGGTAGTGAAGGTAGTTGAGGGCAGAGAGATTCAAATTATTTTTAAAGATAAAGAGAATTATTTTAGGGATTGTTAGGGTCTTGACTTGATATTAGGTACCACTTATTGGACACTTAGTTATTGTTCGCTGTCATCTACTTGACTCAGGCTCATGGAGACCTTCCATACAACAGTGCAAAATGTTGGCCAGTCCTACAGCATCTTTGAAATTGTCAGCATGTTTGAGTGCATTGTTGTGGCTGTTGTGCTGATCCATCACATTAAGGGTCTCTCATGTGCTCATTGGCCCTCCATTTCACCAAACATCATTCCGTGCTTTAGCGATTGATCTTCCTCATGATGTTTCCAAAGTAAAGGAGTTGGACCATAATCTGTTGTGCTCTGTGTCCTCCTTGGCTAATTTTTGGAAGTAGATCACCAGGCCTTTCTTCCTGGTCTGTCTTCATCTGGAAGTGCCACTGAAGCCTGTCCACCATGGGTGACCCTGCTGGTATTTGAAATGCTAGTGGCATAGCTTCCAGCATCGTAGTAACATGCCAGCTATCACAGCCTGACACACTGACAGATGGGTGTTGGATTAGACACTTGACCCTGCTATATTAGGAATCCTTAGTTTGTGATCTAGGTGAAATCTTGTCCCTGAAGTGTGATAAATACACCCACTGATGTTTGGGAGAACATTCCTGACCATATTCCACACTCCAGTGCGGCTCTAGAAAGTTGAGAACTGTCATGTTGCCAAGCTTCATTCTCTTGCCTCTTTTCCTCTCAAATGTTAGAACGTTTGGCTGTGCCATGTGTGTGCCATTATTTAACCCAGTGTTTTGTTTCACAGGGAGCCTTCTGGGGACTGATCCTAGGATTTCTGATCGGCGTGGCCCGGATGATTACTGAATTTGCCTATGGAACTGGGAGCTGCATGGAGCCCAGTAACTGCCCCACGATCATCTGTGGGGTGCACTACTTGTACTTTGCCATAATCCTCTTTGTCATTTCTCTCATCACCATCATCACCATCTCCCTCTTAACCAAGCCCATTCCAGATGTGCATGTGAGTATCCGTTCGGGAGGGCTGTTCTGCTCGTTTCATGTTCATGCTATAGTGCCCACCTTCACTGCTTTTGGTTCAGTTAGATATTTCACACCCCACGACTAAAATAGGCCATACCTAGCATTGTTTTCATATAGAAGGAAGAACAATGTGTGTGCAAGGCCATGACAGGCATGTGTCTTCCATGGAATTCCTCACGCCTGTCACACTTTAGCCTGGGGGCTATTCTCTGGCCTCATTCCTCAAGTGATAGCTCAGGTGCAAGGGAATGAGATCCCTTAAGTGGGTGCAGAGCCTCCCTGGCTCGGTGGCCTATGTCCCAAATAAAACCTGATATTTCTTATTAGTGCTCAGGGATCCCAGGGAGGGACATACCTTGTTATAAGAATCATCACACTCAGAGAAGCCTAATGTATGGTTTCCTCTTTGAATTTTTTTTTCCCCCATTTAAGCCATAGAATCCAAGATATTTCTAACAATATCTGTGTCCATTTGATTCAAAACCTCAAAAATGGCAAGCATTCTTTTAACTTTAG